ACTTGATATGGTTCTTAAGTGGTTGATAACGACGACAATTTTTTTTCAGAACTCTGCTGTCCTTCTATACGCAACAAGTGGGTGAGGTACACCCTGCCCAACACCACATGAGGGTGTGGTACACCCTGACCAACACCACATGAGGGTGAGGTACACCCTGCCCAACACCACATGAGGGTGTGGTACACCCTGACCAACACCACAAGAGGGTGAGGTACACCCTGACCAACACCACAAGAGGGTGAGGTACACCCTGACCAACACCACAAGAGGGTGAGGTACACCCTGCCCAACACCACATGAGGGTGAGGTACACCCTGCCCAACACCACATGAGGGTGAGGTACACCCTGCCCAACACCACATGAGGGTGTGGTACACCCTGACCAACACCACAGTGGGTGAGGTACACCCTGACCTACACCACAGTGGGTGAGGTACACCCTGACCAACACCACAGTGGGTGAGGTACACCCTGACCAACACCACAGTGGGTGAGGTACACCATGACCAACACCACATGAGGGTGAGGTACACCCTGACCAACACCACAAGAGGGTGTGGTACACCCTGACCAACACCACAAGAAGGTGTGGTACACCCTGACCAACACCACAAGAGGGTGAGGTACACCCTGACCAACACCACAAGAGGGTGTGGTACACCCTGACCAACACCACAAGAGGGTGAGGTACACCCTGACCAACACCACAGTGGGTGAGGTACACCCTGACCTACACCACATGAGGGTGAGGTACACCCTGACCAACACCACATGAGGGTGTGGTACACCCTGACCTACACCACAGTGGGTGAGGTACACCCTGACCAACACCACATGAGGGTGTGGTACACCCTGACCAACACCACAAGAGGGTGAGGTACACCCTGACCTACACCACATGAGGGTGAGGTACACCCTGACCAACACCACATGAGGGTGTGGTACACCCTGACCTACACCACAGTGGGTGAGGTACACCCTGACCAACACCACATGAGGGTGTGGTACACCCTGACCAACACCACAGTGGGTGAGGTACACCCTGACCTACACCACAGTGGGTGAGGTACACCCTGACCAACACCACAGTGGGTGAGGTACACCCTGACCTACACCACAGTGGGTGAGGTACACCCTGACCTACACCACAGTGGGTGAGGTACACCCTGACCAACACCACATGAGGGTGAGGTACACCCTGACCTACACCACAAGAGGGTGAGGTACACCCTGACCTACACCACAAGAGGGTGTGGTACACCCTGACCTACACCACAGTGGGTGTGGTACACCCTGACCAACACCACAGTGGGTGAGGTACACCATGACCAACACCACAAGAGGGTGTGGTACACCCTGACCAACACCACAAGAGGGTGAGGTACACCCTGACCTACACCACAAGAGGGTGAGGTACACCATGACCAACACCACATGAGGGTGAGGTACACCCTGACCAACACCACAAGAGGGTGTGGTACACCCTGACCAACACCACAAGAGGGTGTGGTACACCCTGACCAACACCACAAGAGGGTGAGGTACACCCTGACCAACACCACAAGAGGGTGAGGTACACCCTGACCTACACCACAAGAGGGTGAGGTACACCATGACCAACACCACATGAGGGTGAGGTACACCCTGACCAACACCACAAGAGGGTGAGGTACACCCTGACCAACACCACAAGAGGGTGAGGTACACCCTGACCTACACCACAAGAGGGTGAGGTACACCATGACCAACACCACATGAGGGTGAGGTACACCCTGACCAACACCACAAGAGGGTGTGGTACACCCTGACCAACACCACAAGAGGGTGTGGTACACCCTGACCAACACCACAAGAGGGTGTGGTACACCCTGACCTACACCACAAGAGGGTGAGGTACACCCTGACCTACACCACAAGAGGGTGTGGTACACCCTGACCTACACCACAAGAGGGTGTGGTACACCCTGACCAACACCACAAGAGGGTGAGGTACACCCTGACCAACACCACAGTGGGTGAGGTACACCCTGACCAACACCACAGTGGGTGTGGTACACCCTGACCAACACCACAAGAGGGTGTGGTACACCCTGACCAACACCACAAGAGGGTGTGGTACACCCTGACCAACACCACAAGAGGGTGTGGTACACCCTGACCAACACCACAAGAGGGTGAGGTACACCCTGACCAACACCACAAGAGGGTGAGGTACACCTTGACCAACACCACAAGAGGGTGTGGTACACCCTGACCAACACCACAGTGGGTGTGGTACACCCTGACCAACACCACAAGAGGGTGTGGTACACCCTGACCAACACCACAAGAGGGTGTGGTACACCCTGACCAACACCACAAGAGGGTGAGGTACACCCTGACCAACACCACAAGAGGGTGAGGTACACCCTGACCAACACCACAAGAGGGTGAGGTACACCCTGACCAACACCACAGTGGGTGTGGTACACCCTGACCAACACCACAGTGGGTGTGGTACACCCTGACCAACACCACGGTGGGTGTGGTACACCCTGACCAACACCACAAGTGGGTGTGGTACACCCTGACCAACACCACAAGAGGGTGAGGTACACCCTGACCAACACCACAAGAGGGTGAGGTACACCCTGACCAACACCACAAGAGGGTGAGGTACACCCTGACCAACACCACAAGAGGGTGTGGTACACCCTGACCAACACCACAGTGGGTGTGGTACACCCTGACCAACACCACAGTGGGTGTGGTACACCCTGACCAACACCACAAGAGGGTGTGGTACACCCTGACCAACACCACAAGAGGGTGAGGTACACCCTGACCAACACCACAAGAGGGTGAGGTACACCCTGACCAACACCACAAGAGGGTGAGGTACACCCTGACCAACACCACAAGAGGGTGTGGTACACCCTGACCAACACCACAGTGGGTGTGGTACACCCTGACCAACACCACAAGAGGGTGTGGTACACCCTGACCAACACCACAACACCCTGAGTGGGTGAGGTACACCCTGACCAACACCACAAGAGGGTGAGGTACACCCTGACCAACACCACAAGAGGGTGAGGTACACCTTGACCAACACCACAAGAGGGTGTGGTACACCCTGACCAACACCACAGTGGGTGTGGTACACCCTGACCAACACCACAGTGGGTGTGGTACACCCTGACCAACACCACAGTGGGTGAGGTACACCCTGACCAACACCACGGTGGGTGAGGTACACCCTGACCAACACCACAGTGGGTGAGGTACACCCTGACCAACACCACAAGAGGGTGAGGTACACCCTGACCAACACCACAAGAGGGTGAGGTACACCCTGACCAACACCACAAGAGGGTGTGGTACACCCTGACCAACACCACAAGAGGGTGAGGTACACCCTGACCAACACCACAAGGGTGAGGTACACCCTGACCAACACCACAGTGGGTGAGGTACACCCTGACCAACACCACAAGAGGGTGAGGTACACCCTGACCAACACCACAAGAGGGTGAGGTACACCCTGACCAACACCACAAGAGGGTGAGGTACACCCTGACCAACACCACAAGAGGGTGAGGTACACCCTGACCAACACCACAAGAGGGTGTGGTACACCCTGACCAACACCACAAGAGGGTGTGGTACACCCTGACCAACACCACAAGAGGGTGAGGTACACCCTGACCAACACCACAAGAGGGTGAGGTACACCTTGACCAACACCACAAGAGGGTGAGGTACACCCTGACCAACACCACAAGAGGGTGAGGTACACCCTGACCAACACCACAAGAGGGTGTGGTACACCCTGACCAACACCACAGAGGGTGTGGTACACCCTGACCAACACCACAGTGGGTGAGGTACACCCTGACCAACACCACAAGAGGGTGAGGTACACCCTGACCAACACCACAAGAGGGTGAGGTACACCCTGACCCCTGAACACCACAAGAGGGTGTGGTACACCCTGACCTACACCACAAGAGGGTGTGGTACACCCTGACCAACACCACAAGAGGGTGTGGTACACCCTGACCTACACCACAGTGGGTGAGGTACACCCTGACCAACACCACAAGAGGGTGAGGCACACCCTGACCAACACCACAAGAGGGTGTGGTACACCCTGACCTACACCACAAGAGGGTGAGGCACACCCTGACCAACACCACAAGAGGGTGAGGTGTGGTACACCCTGACCTACACCACAAGAGGGTGTGGTACACCCTGACCAACACCACAGTGGGTGTGGTACACCCTGACCAACACCACAAGAGGGTGAGGTACACCCTGACCAACACCACAAGAGGGTGAGGTACACCCTGACCAACACCACAAGAGGGTGAGGTACACCCTGACCAACACCACAAGAGGGTGTGGTACACCCTGACCTACACCACAAGAGGGTGTGGTACACCCTGACCAACACCACAGTGGGTGTGGTACACCCTGACCAACACCACAAGAGGGTGAGGTACACCCTGACCAACACCACAAGAGGGTGAGGTACACCCTGACCAACACCACAAGAGGGTGAGGTACACCCTGACCAACACCACAAGAGGGTGTGGTACACCCTGACCTACACCACAAGAGGGTGTGGTACACCCTGACCAACACCACAAGAGGGTGTGGTACACCCTGACCTACACCACAGTGGGTGAGGTACACCCTGACCAACACCACAAGAGGGTGAGGCACACCCTGACCAACACCACAAGAGGGTGTGGTACACCCTGACCTACACCACAAGAGGGTGAGGCACACCCTGACCAACACCACAAGAGGGTGAGGTACACCCTGACCAACACCACAGTGGGTGTGGTACACCCTGACCTACACCACAAGAGGGTGAGGCACACCCTGACCAACACCACAAGAGGGTGAGGTACACCCTGACCAACACCACAGTGGGTGAGGTACACCCTGACCAACACCACAAGAGGGTGAGGTACACCCTGACCAACACCACAAGAGGGTGAGTTACCCACCTCAAGAGCTATCCCGCCTCGTGGAGCGTCGTAGTCCAGCCTGGCGGCTCCGTGGTACCACACGACGTGTTGGGGGCCCTTGTTGAGGCGGTGTGTGACGGTGCAGGTGACCGCCAACACGCTGCCTCGCTGAATGTACCGCTCATGAGCTCCCTCAATGTGCACCTGTGTACCTGTAATAATTGGCACAGATTTAGTTACAAGTTATATTTAAACCTGTAATAATTAGCACATATTTACTTACAAGTTACCTTAAAACCAGTAATATTTAGTTCATATTTACTTACTAGTTACCATTGAACCTGTAATAATTAGTCCATTCATAACTATCAGTTAGTGTTAAACCTGTAATAGTTAGTTCAGAGTTATTTCCTAATGTGTAAATGTTCGCATGAAGTTGTATCACGTCCAGTGCTATGTTTTGATAAATGTTTGTTTATATACAAATATCTGATATTATTAAACTATATATTATTAATATTATTAATATTATATATATATATATATATATATATATATATATATATATATATATATATATATATATATATATATATATATATATATATATATATATATATATATATATATATATATATATATATATATTAGTATATTTTGGTAGCAGTCTTTCCTGTAGACATATATTATTAAATATGACCGAAAAAGTAAGATTAATAATTCTAACACGAATTTTCTCAATCTTTCGTACATTTCTTTTCACTGTTGGAGGTAATTCAAAAATCAATTCTCCAAAATTCATTTTTATTTCTAGTCTGACGCGACACTTGAGCGCGTTTCGTAAAACTTATTACATTTTCAAAGACTTTACACATACACAACTGAATAGAACTTACATATCTCCGATTTGCTTATATCTACATTTGAGTGAGGTGGATGGGGTGAGGTGGTATTTAATAGGGTATTAATTTCATCAACACAAGACAGATCACGAAACAATGGGTATTGAAATGGAAGTGATTGTAGAAAGCCTATTGGTCCATATTTCTTGATGCTTCTATATTGGAGCGGAGTCTTGAGGTGGGTAGAATATAGTTGTGCATTAATTGGCTGTTGATTGCTGGTGTTGACTTCTTAATGTGCAGTGCCTCGCAAACGTCAAGCCGTCTGCTATCGCTGTATCTATCGATGATTTCTGTGTTGTTTACTAGGATTTCTCTGGCGATGGTTTGGTTGTGGGAAGAGATTATATGTTCCTTAATGGAGCCCTGTTGCTTATGCATCGTTAAACGCCTAGAAAGAGATGTTGTTGTCTTGCCTATATACTGGGTTTTTTTAAAAACCCAGTATCGCCGCGCTTTCCAAATAAGAGACATATCTGTGCTTATAACCGCAGAATTGTCTCATTCGGAGGTGGAAATAGTGCAGCAGAGCAGCCGTTGAACGGATCACTACATATCAAGCTGTAGCATTCTCCAAAAACGTATCTCGGCTGTATGATCATGTATTTCCTTGTATTGAGCTTGTAACATTGAAATTTCAACCGGGTTATGAGGCATAATTAACATCAAGCCCCAGTAAGCCTCTCTCCCTTTTATTAGGTATTATTCCTATGTTATATTGCTAATATAGTAGGTTGTAGCAGTTGGTACTTTGTATTACCCCGGCAGATCTACATTGGCGACGTGAGAGAGGATCTACTGGTTCCAACACGTTGGAGTTCAGGGCCTGAGTACAGGACGCAGTGTCACTGGAGTCAACATTTACTGCATAAGTCACCTGATGACTACTCTCGTGTAATGCTGGGCAAGGAGGAGATCTTCACTCCAGCTAAGCTGACAAATTAATCAGTTGTAGAGTAGCCTACTAACTCTTTAACCCTCATTTATTTATTATTATCATTATTAAATTTTGTTATATATTTACATGCATTACGTAGATTAACATTATAGAACTTAACCCCCAAAAGATATATAGGAATCACTCCACTTTAAACCGAAGTTTTACAGTCCACTTCACTAAATTTATTATGCATTAATTCTCAAATTTATTATTATACAATTCATATGGCATTGGATTCAGAGCCACTAACATTTTTTATGTTTTTTATTTTTCTATTGTTTAACTGATATTATATACTGGAGTAGAAATCCCCTTCACCCCATCCCCTGGTCCTATCCCCTGGTCCTACTTACCATTCCCTCCTCCCCTGTCCCCTCGTCCTTCCCCATCATCCCCCACTCCCCCGTCCCTTTGTCCTCCCCACCATCATCCTCTTCCCCGTCTCCTCGTCCACTCTATCCCTCTCACCCGTCCCCTCTTCTTCCCTACCTCTCCCCACTCCCTCGTCTAATGCATTCCCAAATGATCTGATGTTTCCATCAGAAAAATGGGAACATTAAATGATCTGATGTTCTCCAGCATTGGAAAATACGAAGAACAGTTTAAAAAAAACGAAATGAAAAAATAAAAAAATCAACTATACTCACAAAATAAACGGTATGGTAAATAACACAGCTGAATTCCAATGCAATGTCACACAAAATAATTAAGTCAAAATGAAGCAAAATCGAAATCTATGAAAATTCATTTTATCAATGCTATCGGAAAAATTGAAATGGAATCGTAACATATCTTGGATAGAGTGTGTGTTGCTTTTACGTGTACATATGGCGCTCTTTTTACCTGTCACAGGTGTGGCATCTGTATAGTACGTATACAAAAACATGCTCGTATTCAAATGGAACGTTGTGTCAAAATTTCAAAAGCCACATGTGCAGAACTTTTGGAGATTACAGCGTGAGTTTCTCTTACGTCCAACAGATGTATCTTTAAAAAAAAAAAGTGTTTTTATCAGTCACAGGTGTGGCATGTATATAGTAGGTATATATACAAACACGCATGTGTTCGAATGCACCGTTGTGTCAAAGTTTCAAAGCAATCCCTGAGTAACTTACGGGGATTAGCGATTTTGAACAAATGAACATTTACATTTTTATTTATATATATTAGGAAAGACATTGTCAAATACCATTGTGAACATTGTACTATTTCCTTGCTTCTTATGTATAGGTCTTCTGTAGTTTATATAATTTCATAGCAATCGTTAATGATTGGTCCAACATATATGAACATACATAGGAGATACTGTATGGCCTCCCCCAACAAGGCCTTCTGCAACTTCATTCTTATCTTTAATACACAATCTGTATCCAGAAATAATCTTTGAGAATGGGATTTAATATTAAATCATTGAAAATGGGAATAAATATGCAATAATTGAAAATGGGATTAAATGTGTAATTATGGAGTGCTTAAAGAAGTTACATTTGACTATTTTAGGTAAGGGGAAAATTATCTTTAGTTAAGAACAGTGATGGAAGATTCCCTTTGACTATTTTTGTAAACTTTACGAACCATAATGTAAGTTAAGAAAGTGTTTAACGAAGTTACACTTGACTATTTTCAATTGAGAGATGTGTTATATTAGTTAAGAAATGATGAACGTGGCTCATTTTTTGCTCTTGCTCATTTGTAGCAAGTGCAAGGTTGAGGACGGTGATGTGATCTCAGTGAAGCCGTGTGGCTATTAAGTTAAGTGGTTACTGTTCTTAAGTAGGACATAAGTGTTTTAAAGTGTGTTTATGCAGGCGATGAGTCACAATAACGTGGCTAATGTAGGTTGAGCAGACCACACACTAGAAGGTGAAAGGACGACGACGTTTCGGTCCGTCCTGGACCATTCGCAAGTCGATTGTCGACTTGAGAATGGTCCAGGACGGACCGAAACGTCGTCGTCCCTTCACCTTCTAGTGTGTGATCTGGTCAAAGTGTTATGTTAGTAATAAGTGCAAGCCAATTTTATTGTCAGTTTCACAGTGCGTGCGACTTGTAATATTTAAATTCATAGATACTCTTTGAGCGATGCTGTGTCCTTCAGAACAGCCGCGTGTTGTGCAGTAATGGTCTGTGTCTCATGATATTTATCTGCATGCACGTCCCTATAATAGACTGGTAACTAGACGGTCCAAACTTTCATTTATCCTTCAATTTCTATGCCAAGTATGGAGTGGGGAAATTAATGGGATTTTGTGCTAGTTTCGAGCACCATTAAATGGGCACGTAACATATTTGGGGCAATTTGCCCTTGCGAGGGCTAAATGAGTATTTTTAGTTGAATGACGATGGATAAAGCTAGATATGAACAGTGTTGGAAAGTTTCTTTTAGCTATTTTTAGCTAAGAGAAAGGCTATTTTAGATAAGAACAGTGTTGAACGAGCTTAATCCTGACTATTTTTAGTTGATTGACGAATACTTTTAGTTAAGAAATGCTGGACGTGACTATTTTTTATTTGATTGACGAATACTGTAGTTATAAACAACAAGAAAAGTGTCTTGGTAAATGTGTTACTGTATAAAGTGAAGATTTGTCTACGAGCAGCGCTGGTAAGAGATAATAAGTCGTTAAGCAAATATACATTGATATAGTTTTTTGAAAGTTGTTGACTGACTAAACTTTGAACTTAATATATTAGGTGAACAATAATGCGGTTGATAATATTTGACTTAGAACTTGTTACTGAACGGAAGAAAACAATTGAACATTAGATTTTAAAGAACATGTAAAAGAATGCGGTGAACACAGTGAACATACGGGGAACTTGACAAAGAACACAGAGAATACGAGAAAACAAAAATGAACTTGTGAAGAACATAATAAGAACATTATGAGAACATGAATAAGGACATAGAAAAAAGGATTTGAACTTGCAGAGAACTTGCTGAGAACATGGAGAATATGACAAAGAACACAGAACATGGAAGATAATCTGAACATTATAGAGAACATGCTGTGAACATTTTGAAGAACATGGAGAGAATATGCAAATATGGTATAGTATTTGTTCATATTCTTGAGGGTGCAGAGTTGTGAATGGTTCTGGGGGAAAGGGGAGGTTGAGAATGGGTAAAACATGGAGGGAGTTGTGGGGAAAGGGAGGGGAAGATAAGGGGTGCGGGGAGTTGGGGAAGTAAAGGAAGGGGAGGGTAAGGGGTGAATGAATCTGGGGGAAGAGGGAGAAGGGGAATGGGCGAGATGAAGCGGGCGTAGGGGGAGAGGAAGTTGGGGTGGAGGTAAGGGAGGGGAAGGTAAGGGGTGAGGGAGATAAGACAGAGGACAGCGGGGGCGGGGGGCATGGAGGGAGAGAGGTA